TAACATTTGGACAATTCTGCATAGAGTATTTTCAAGTTCATTTTTTAGTGTAGGTTTTAGCTACTGAAAATATTTGTCATATTAATAACTAGAAAGACAACAAGTGGGCAAGAAAAAGAGGAGATAATGCCTGGTTTCATTTCTTAAGGGCATTTTAATGAAGTTATTGTATAAAGAACTTTGAAAATTTGTCCACTCAGAAGGGCTGGGGATATAGCTCAGTGGCACAGCACCTGCCTGGCAAATTTGTCCTGTGCCACTGCAGTTTTCAAATGTCAGGATGAAGGGAGGTGTTTTTATTACAGAATGATGATTGTGGTAATCGCTGACCTCTTATCCTGGGACTGCAGCCAGCCTACACATTCTGTGGGCCTAGTAATCCCATGCTGGTTATTTCTGTTACTCAACACAGTATTTAAAAAGCATGGGACTAACCAGGGAGCATAATGAAATCGCTGCTTACAAGAGCCCCAATCCTGGAGGAAATCACTCTAGCAGAAGGAAGGTAGTTTTGTTTTGTTCTGAGACAGGGGCTCATTGTGTAGCACAGGATGGCCTCAAACTTGGATGATTGCCTCCTGCCTCAGCCTCCTGAATGCTGGGCTTACAGGCACGGAACATCAACCATCTCAGAGTCGATGTAAGGAACAGAAGAGAAAAATCAGGAACAGAAGGGAGGTGTAGGATGATGGAATAAAATTCTTCCATTGGGGATTTTTAATTTCTTTTTGCAGTTGATACAGAGGGAGAGAGAGGGATGGAGGGAAGGAGGGAGGGAGGAAGGGAGGGAGAGAGAGAGAGAGAGAGAGAGAGAGAGAGAGAGAACCTGCAAGGCACTTGGCACGACTCCTAGAGATGCCCAAGTAGCCAGAAGCCAGACATATCTTGTTCTTCACAGCCCTGACTCCAGGAATGTATTTAGTGTAAGCTCAAGAAACCCAGGAAAGCTGATGGTGACAGATGAGAGGTTTATTTCAGAGGCTGCCATGTGGTGACCCAAGCCTGTAACCCCACCACTGAGGGGGCTGAGGCAGAAGGATGGTGGATTTAAGGACAGCCTAGACTACATAGTGAGACCCTGTCTCAAAATTCAGTTTGTTCAGCCAAGGTCTAGGGAGTTATCTGAATAGCTGTGTAGTGCCATCTGTGGCTTACGTGTCACCAGGCTAGGGGTGAAACTGGAACGTGACCTCTCTCAGTTGCGAGCCTGTCAAGGTGAGAATCCAGGTGCTAACCCCTCCACCTGTCCTGGAAGAGGTCCTTGTGGCTCACTCTACATTGATGTCTTCTAGGTCTGTAGATGATAGACCGATCTTGCTTAATTTATCCAAGAGATATCTGGTCTTGAACCACTTAACAGTTTACCCCAGTATCACCTGGGCAGTGTATTTGTTCATATACTGAGTAGCCTGAGTGTCACTCTGCCAAGTGTCCTTTCAATCAGTTGATTCTTTTTTTTTTTTTTTTTTTCCTGTATTTTAGGGAAGGGTCTAGAGGGTGTTCAGGGTCTCACTACTAGATCAGACTTGTAGTGATTCTCCTGTTTACAGCCTCACAAGTGCTGGAATTGCAGGTGTGTGCCACCATGTCCAGTCTCACTTGCTGTCTCAGAGAGTGCCGGGGGCGGGGCAGACATGGAGGGCTCAGGGATTGAACCCAGGCCTCTGCACCTGCTTGCAGGCACTTTAATCTGCTGAGGTATTTGGCTGGCCCTCAGTTGATTCTTTTTTTTTTTTTTTTTGCGGAACCAGGGATTGAACTCAGGCCCTTGTGCTTGCCAGGGAAACGCTTATTCTACTGAACCATCTTCCCGGCCCCCCTCAGTTGATTCTTGTATTGAATAAATTTGATAAAATTGCCATTTTTATATTTCCTCTTACATTCTTATAAAATTAATGAAAATAAATTAAGCAGTCATTCTCTATTTAAACAATTGGACTGATCAAAATGGTGGTAGCACAGTCCCCAACAGATTTATTACCTCTTAAAATTACCCTCAGGCTTTTTTTTTTCCTTTTTAAATTTTTTTAGATAGGGCCTGACTATGTAGACCAGGTTGGCCTCCAATTTATGATCCTCCTGCCTCAGCCTCCTGAGTGCTGAGATCACAGACCTGTGCCACAGTGCCTGGCAGTATGTTATTAGTTTTTGTAGAGGAGACAAACAGAACTCAGAAAGCAAATCTTTTCTAAGTAAATTATAGCCAGAAGAGAATGGTTATCAGTTTCCAAACAAGATACAACAACAGAACACCACCCAAATATTTTCCCAATATTTTAAAATAGGAAACAAAGTTCAAAGTTCAGGGCTTTTGCAAATGTATCTTACTGTCACTTTGGATCACTGTTACAAGCACTCAGGAATAAGCTCTTACAGAGATTATATGTAAGGCCCTTCCAGAATGCTTACTCCTTTCTACAAAACCTGCAGCTTAGGTCAGAATTGCTCGTAGGAAATTGTGAGTCCTGTGGGTACAAGTGTGTCACTGTTAACGTCTTTAACTTTAAGGTTAAAGAACAGAGTGTGGGGCCAGGGAGATGGCTTAGTGGAATAAGCGCTTCCCCGGCAAGCGCAAGGGTCTGAGTTCAATCCCCAGTTCTGCAAAAACAAACAAACAAACAAACAAACAAACAAAAAAACCAAAAACAAAAAAAGGAGTGTCTGTGTTTTGTACCACTTATAAAGCCATAAGTAGATGGCACTGAGGGCTGTGCTTAAGCAATTCAGATATTATAGAATTAGGGCAGAGAGTATAGGGCAATAGCTAGAGTGTGGTCTTATAACAAGTATGTTCTATTTTATTTTATTTTGGTACTTGGGATCAAACCAGATGGTGGTCTACCACTGAGCTATATCACCAGTCCCTCCCCTTTACAATTTTGACTCAGTGAGTCTTTTTTTTTTTTTT